AGCGGCTGGACTACCTGGTGGACCGAGCCTGACATTTTCAACTGGTGTTACAAGGTGAGGCTGATCTGAGCCAATAAGGAGTGACGGCTCAGCTTCTGTGAAGGCAGGAATGGGCAAGCCATGGAGGTGTCTGAACTTCTGCTTAAGGCGTTCAGTAGGATAGGTGTACTTGGCTAGGCTGAGACGGCTGGCTGTAAATGCACCTTCTATCTTGTAGCTAGTGTGAGGATTAGTCACTGAGGAGACACGGAAGGAAACTGTGTAGCCAGGGAGTACCTCTATATCTTGTCTCACTGTGCGCAGAGGAAGATCTTCGGGGATGCCTTTCATGCCCAAAGCTTTGGCTGCATTTGGTAAGAGCATTGATCTTTCGGACCCATCATCGAGGATCGCGAAGGTGTTCAGAGTCTGTTCCCTACAGTGGATGATGATGGGGATGACCTTTAACATGACTCTGTTCCTGATGCCTGGACGATCAAGGTAGAGAGAGTTGGTGGTCGTGCTGACTAAGCAACTCTCCTCCTTAACTGGTACTTCCTGGGGGGGGTTCCCCGTCCGAGTGTTCACCTCATGGAAGGCTCGGAGGTGCTGTCCCTGACAAAGGTTGCACGGCTTCTTCAAGGTGCAGTGGGCAGCTAAGTGGGCACGTGCACAGCGCCAACAGCGTTTGTTAGCCTGTATCCACTCTTTAAGCTGCTCGTTGGAGAGTTTGGCAACCTCAGTACACTGACTAAGATAATGTTCATTGCTCTCACAGTAGGCACAGTATGCTTTGGCCTTGGACTTGTTCTTATCTACTCCACTCTTCTTCTGATTGAGTGCTGCGGGCTCACCTGCACCATGCAGGATGGTCACTGTTTGTTTGGCTTGTCGACCGTCTTTCCTCACGCTTGGTTTCTCCCTTCCAGCTCGTGGATCGATTTGGCTATCAAACCCTTGGCATCGGGACTCGAACCGAAGCCAGTCCGACAGGTCATAGAGGGCGTGGCTAGTTCTTGATTGCTTAAACTGGTGCCGGCGGTAGTCAGCACGCTGCTCGGCAGGGAGCTTGCTTAGGAGGCGTGCTACATGTGAGCCACAGTGAAGTTCAATTTCTCCAGCCGGACCAAGGGTTTGTAGTAGGCCTACTAGGGACTGTATCTGTAGGGAGAACTTCTGGAAGGATGCAGTGTCACCGCGCTTAACTTCAGGGGCCTCCAGGACACTAGCTATTTTCCTAAGGGCAAGTTGGTGTGGTTGACCAAATTTATCACTGAGCGCTGCCATGGTATCGGTGTATGGCGTGGAGGAATTCAAATAAGCGTCAGCAATAAGCCTGGCTTCTTCCAACTTGAGGTGATCTACCAGTATCTGATAGCGAAACAGCTCAGTGGCATTGGCTGGAAGCAGATTTTCCAAAGCTATGCGTAGCCTTGCAAACTCACTGGGGTCTGGGTTGCTAAATTTGGGAATGGTAGGATTAGGGCCTCTATATATTGGTTCACATACGGCCGGTGAAATGCTATGAGTGGGGGTAGGTATGTGAAAGGCCGGTGGCTTCTGAGCTGCTGGAGGTTGTGGCTGCGTCTTCACTGGACCTGGAAATGGACACGGAGGAGGCGGAGGAGGCCATTCGAAGGAGTGAATGGGGTCAGGTGGAGAAGGCGAGTAACATGGTGGATTACTGGACTCTTCCATGTTGAGCAGCTGCATGTTCCTTGTCAAGTCGGGTTGAGGCCAGGGCGGAGGAGGCAATTCGTTTAGCCCCTGAGGGCCTGCTTTGAGGGGAGACGAGGGAGCTGTGATGCCTGGAGGATGCTTCATGCTTGAGGCAGGACTGTAGATTTGGGTCATTTCTGTTCTCAAGGAGCGGGCAACTTCTAGTAGTTCTTTGATCTCATTCCGAGCCTCGTTCAATTCCTTATGCCTGACTGGATCAACTGTTGTGATTGGTACAACTTTGCATTCTCCTCCTGCATTGCTTTGACTGCTTGGGTTAAGTGGTAACTATGGTAGGAGTCAGCCTCGGACGAGATTGAAGGTGGGGACTGCAGTAGGGTGTCCCATTCCGGGTTGGTTCTCTGGAGACGACGTGGGGCTAGCTGAGGAGTCTCGGAGTGAGCAGCATTCCCATACAATCGTCGGTGGAGAGGTGTCAGGGATGGGGCCGTCTGGACTGGATAATCTGGCTGGGTCGGCGGCACACTAACTGCATTTGATGCTGGCAAATCTCGTGGCTGGTATCCTATGTAATCCACTTGATATTCCTGGAGGGCAGGAGGAGGCTGGGTTCGTCGCTTAGGTCTGACAGGAGGATACATCTCTTCCGCTGGATCCATCTTGAATACAGTTATCCGGCTCGAAGGACCAGAGTGTTGGGGAGGCGAAGGACTGATTCGTTTTAAGGAGATAACTGTAGACTAGATGGTGTGCCGGTCAGAGCACAGG